GCAACAACGTAAATGGGTGAGGTAATGATATCTTCGAGCATCAACCCGAAACAAATATTCTAGAGAATCAACGGAATGTTAGGTATAAACGAACAAAGAAATCATGCATCATATTAGGTATAAACGAACGAAGAAATCATGCATCATGAAAATAAATAGTCAAAAAATCAAATCTCGTAGAATCACAAATCAAGAAGAAGACCAATGAAAGAAACTTGTATCGAAAATTTGAAATTATCGGTAGCCACAATATAATTTACTTGATAAATGGTCAAGAAAAAATATAATTATAAAGGCATTATAAAATGAAAGTAGAACTTGTTTGTATTTTCAAATAGGGTAAAATGTACAAATGGTGATTCTTCGGTGGATGGGCAAATCATGTGTAATGCTGCTATCCGTTGTGGAAAATCCCGAGGTCATGGTAGGTCTTAAGTTCCTTTAGGGAATAGATTTAATCAGCCCATAAAAAATGACCACTTTTTTCTTGGTTATTTGCGGCGTCACGTGTTATATACATATTCGTTGGAGAATGAATGTGGTGAAAGTGAAACCGAGAATACATCAACACCGGATTGCTCAAATCAGGAATGCGATGAACTTGAATTGTCATTCACATATAAAGCTCGTGGCAATGGTGTTGGGGTGAAGAAATGTGGGGTTGGGATAGTGCATGAGAAAGATTTGGAAGATGTCCAACTTACAACAGAGCAACACATCAATCAAATTAGGGCACAAATTGAATGAAGAGTCCACTGTTGATGGACACAGAGAGAGACATGTTGAGAACCATTACGTACATGGGAAGAAACGTTTGCTGATGTCAGGTAAATATCAGATCAGTTCAATAACAAGTCAGATAATTTATAGGTTGAGTCAATTACATGTCAGGTTGAAAACAGGTCGGGTAATACCAGTTATTTACCAGGTTAATCTTGGGTTCGGGTTCATATCAATCGGATGCATGTCGAGTTCGGTTACCATATTTTTGGTTCAATTTGGGTTCAGGTCGTTCTCTGATCGGGTGCAGGTCTACAATTTTCAGGTCCAACTTGGGTTTAGGTCAACACCAATTCCGACTCGAGTCAGTTTCAAACCACCACTGCTAAGGTCACAAACAATTTTTACTCGAGCCGGTTTCAGTCGGTTTTACAGGTCGAGTCAACTTTTTACATCCCTAATTGCAATTAGTGTTATCGAATAGGCTCAATTGAGAAAATTATAAATCAATATATTATTAGATAATTGTGATTATAAATCAAGTACGAAAAAAATGTGAAAAAAGCAAAATAGTAACTTTTACCCATGTGGTAGACTTAATTTATCATTTTCACCCCTATTGTATTTCCACATCGATTTAACTCTTAAAGTTGTTTAATTGCATCATTTTATACCCTACTCCTAACTTAAAATCATAAATTAATAACTTTAAACCTTAAACCATAACCCATAACCTTTAAACCCTAACCTTAAACCTTAATTTTTAACTTTAAACTTTTAATTTAGGGTTTTAAGTGAGGTGTAGGGTATGGAATGATACAATTAAGCAATTTCGAGAGCTAAATTGATGCGAAAATATGATATGGACGAATATGATAAATTGAGTCTACTACAAAGCCAAAAAAATAAATGTCTGCCTTTAATCTATTTTGCCCAACACAACTAGTTCATAAATTGTTTTCATTGTCTTTTTCTTCCCAGGTCCCATCATCTGGCAAACCTTCATTGTTTTTGAAAAGGAAGTGCTATCAACGGTTCCAACAATATTACCATAAACCAATCAAGGGTCTCCTCATCTAAGGTGAGTGTTGTCATCGAGGGTAGGGTGAGGTGAGAATTTTAATTTAGGGTTTAACATTTGGGGTATAATTTGGTGATTTAGGATTTTGTGTATAATTTAATATTTTTAAATTTTTTTTATTGTAATACTATATAATATTAAAAAATTAATAAAAATATTACATTTTATATGAAAATAATAATAAAATAATTCATGCCATTGAGTGACCAAAAAAATTAAATCTATAAGTTCCGTGAGTAAATTGAAAAAATTAAAGGTATAATGAATGAAATAGGAAAGGGAATAAAATTCAGTGACGAATAGTGTAGTTTACCCTTAAAGTAGTCTACCTTTTCGACTTTACGCTCGACTCGAGGCGTAGTCAACAGTGAACAGAAAAAGCAAAGGAAGCAGTTGTAGTCTCAGCTTCTTGGATTATTCCGGTTTCATTTCCGATCCAATTTCCACCACTACACGCTTTCTTCCTTTGGTATTAATAATTATACAGAAATTGCTCAGAAACCTTTGTTTTTGGAAATTTGATCTCCTTTTCTCTTCATTCTTGCTCTTTTACTTGGACTGTTCCTAGTTTCTTCCTGCGTTTTAGGCCATCTATATATATATTGATTTTGAACATCGGATTGAGATATCCTTTTCTTCCTCCTACAATTCGTCATGTTGTCGTTGCCTTCGTCTTCCTCGTCTATTTCCAGACACAAATATGATGTTTTCTTGAGTTTTAGAGGTGAAGATACCCGCAGAAGTTTTACAGATCATCTCTATGATGCTCTTCAACGCAGTGGAATCGTCACTTTCAGGGATGACCCGAAGCTGGAGACCGGCGAAGAGATTGCCCCAGAACTCTTTAAAGCCATTCAACAATCATGGTACTCGGTAATCGTTTTCTCCAAAACCTACGCCTTTTCAAGTTGGTGTTTGGAGGAGCTTGCTGAGATTGTTAAACAAAAATTGGAAAAGGGTCATAAAATATTTCCAATTTTCTATGATGTGGATCCGTCTGATATAAGGAAACAAAGGATAAAGTTGGAGAGCATTTCCAACACAAAGAGACATACAAGGAAGATCAACACAATCCAAAGATGGCGAAATGCTTTGACTGAGGTTTCTAACATCAAGGGATGGCATTTGAATAACAAGTAATTCATTCTTTTCTCTCTTAGATCATTTATTTCATTGTCATATCTGTTCATTTCTTAAATGAATAAAAAAACTAAATTTAATTTCTATTGTAGGCATGAATCTGAATTAATTGGAGATATTGTTAAAAAGATCTCAGCAAAATTATGTCAAACATATCGGATTGTTCATAATAAGTTGGTTGGCATTAGTTACCGTTTGGAGGAGTTGTATTCAAAATCGATGTTGGAGAAGATGATGTCCGTATTATAGGAATATATGAATGGGTGGCATCGGTAAAACCACTCTTGCAAGAGTTGTTTACGACCAAATGTCATCTCATTTTGAAGGTAAAAGCTTTCTTGCTGATGTTCGAGAAGTTTCAAACAAATTGGGACTTGTTTATTTCCAGAAACAACTTCTTACTCAAACCTTGTGCGAAGAAGGATTCAATATATTCGATGTTGATCAAGGAATGTAATCATCAGTCATAGGTTGTCTCACAAAAAAGTTCTTGTTGTTATCGATGATGTTGATAACAGAAAACACTTAGAACACTTGGCTGGAAGGCGTGATTGGTTCGGTTCAGGCAGTAGGATCATTGTAACAACAAGAGATGAACATCTGCTCCGATCTTATCGAGTCGATTATGTGTATAAGCCTACAACATTGAGTCCCAATGATGCACTTCGGCTTTTTAATTTGAGAGCTTTCGATAGTGAGACAGTGTTAGAAGATGTTTTCATTGAGCTTTCTGAACATGTTGTAAGTTATGCTGGCGGTCTTCCCTTAGCTCTTGAAGTTTTGAGTTCTTTTTTGTGTGGTAGAGATGCAACTCAATGGAGAAGTGCAATTGAAAGACTTAAACGAGACTCCAACAAAGAAATTATTGATAGACTTCGAATCAGTTTTGATGGATTGGAAGAAAGGGAAAAGAATATATTTCTTGATATCGCATGCTTCTTTAATGGGGAGGAGAAAGATTTTGTAACCAAAGTGTAGGATGGTTGTGAGTCTTTCCCAGATATTGGAATCGATGTTCTCATTAAGAAATCCCTAGTGACAGTTGATGAAGACAACAAATTATGGATGCATGACTTGCTACAAGAAATGGGAAGAAAAATTGTTTGGGAAAAATCTATTGATGAACCTGGAAAGCGTTGCAGATTGTGGGATGAAAGGGACATCCAACATGTTCTAACAAAAAAACTGTAAGTCATTCAATAAAACTAAGTCTTCCTATGTAGAAAAATATACATAATATTTTGAATATTTGATCGAGTAGGAGGAATATATTTATTCATTATATTGCAAAACTATGTCATTTAAAATATTTTTAGTTGATTAATAATGTTAATAAGGATTTGAATAAGTATATAATTTCAGTAAATCACTCTCATTGGAAAATGTTATAATTTGTTTAAAGTGATTTATTTACTATATTCCGATCAAAAGATTATCGTAATGTTAAACATAGGTGTAAATTGTCAAAAGTTTTATCATGCAGTTTAAACCATTCATTCTGTCTTCTTATACTCTGTTCTTGATTACTTGTAGGCCACGGAAGTGATTGAAGCCATGATCATCGACAATCAAAGGTAGGAAAACATGGGTAATGATTTTAACGTTTTTCCATGGATTCGAAGAGTTCTTGAAATATCATATTACAATACTCTTATGCGTCAGATACAAGTATGAAATCCGGATGATTGAAAACACAGTAATGGAGCAACATAGCTTTTAGGTATTGGATTTGCTTTTGCATAGTTTGAAGCTCATTTTTTGTTTTTCTCATGGTTATCAGGAATCGAACAAGACACTCAATTTGAGTGTCGATGCCTTCTCGAAGATGAAAAGATTGAGATTGCTCAAAGTTCTTTGCCTCTCAAATTGTGATGGTCTTAAATATCTTTCTAATGAGCTACGGCTTTTAGATTGGAAAGGATTTCCTTTAAGATCTCTGCCCTCAGGCTTTCAACCGGACAACCTTGTTGCACTTCTCTTACAATACAGTCACATTGAACAACCATGGAAGGGAAACAGAGTAAGAATTAATTCTATTTTTAAGATGAATGATTCCTGGAAGGTTGTACAAAAATAGTTGATGTTCATCCATCCATTGCAGAGCTTAAGAGGCTTCAAAATTTGAATTTGAGAGGCTGCAAAAGTCTTAGGAATCTTCCAACCAAAATTGGAATGGAATCTCTTCAAACATTCATTCTTTCGGGTTGTTCAAATCTTTTTTGGTTTCCAGAGATTGATTGCAAAATGGATTGTCTAAAAACGCTTGATCTTTCCGGATGTTATAGAGTTGGATTTTTGCCAGAGAGTTTGCAGCTAGCTGAGTTTTTGGAAGAGCTTGACTTGAGTGAAACGGCCATAACAAAACCACCGTCCTTCATTTTTCGACTTAAAAATCTTAAATTTTTGTCTTTCAATGGGTGCAAGGGATCTTCATCTAAGTTTCGACAAAATCTGCCTTCTCTCTTCAAAAAATTCCAAAGAGGAAAGACAAATTCAATGGCTCTGATGTTGCCTTCGTTGTCGGGTTTGAGTTCATTGACAAAGCTGAAACTAAGGGACTGCAATCTTTGTGAAGGAGATATTCCTACTGATATTTCTTGTCTATCCTCTTTGGTAATCCTCAATCTCAGCAGTAACAATTTCATCAGCCTACCTGATTCTCTTACTCGACTTTCCAAGCTTAAAAATCTTCAATTGATGAATTGTCGGCGGCTGAAATATTTACCTGAGCTTCCAACAAGTACAATATCTGTGAGCATAGATGATTGTGCTTCTCTGGAACTAATTGCTTATCTACCAAAAGTAGGCAATTCAAGGGATGGGGTGCATATTATAGGTACCAACTGCTACAGATTGGCTGAGAACATCAATGCATTAACATTGCTGAAAAAACATCTCAAGGTTGTTCAATCTCTCTTTTTTGCTTAACAAAATCTCGTAATTAAGAATTTGTGTTTTTAGTTACCAGCGAAGGGTGTTTTATTTTGCAGGTATTTGCACATTCAAGAGAAAAATTCGATATTATTATACCTGGAAGTGAAATCCCGGAATGGTTCAGCCATCAAAGAGTCGACTCTTCAATCAAGTTGCCACTGCCTCTCAATATTCGGAATGATAGTCAATGGATGGGAGTTGCTCTCTGCTGCAATTTTGCCGGTGGTGATTCTTCGGGGGATGAGGAAATCTGGTGTAATGCTGTTATCCATTGTGGAGAACCTCGACGTCTTGGTGAGGTTCCCATTCATTTAGGGAAAAGTTTTAATCAGCCCATAAAAAATGACCACCTTTTTCTTCGTTACTGGGGGCGTGAAGTGTTATATCCATATTCCTTGGAGAATGAATGTGGTGAAAGTGAAACCGAGAATACATCAACACCGGATTGCTCAAATCAGGAATGCGATGAACTTGAATTGTCATTCGATTATGATGCTCGTGGCAAAGGTGTTGGGGTGAAGAAATGTGGGGTTGGGATAGTGTACGAGAAAGATTTGGAAGATGTCCAACTTACAACAGAGAAACACATGAATCAAAGTAGGGCACAAATTGAATGAAGACTCCACTGTTGATGGACACAGAGACAGACATGCTGAGAACCATTAGGTACATGGGAAGAAACGTTTGTTGATTATGCTGACTTTCTAATCACCACTTTCGTGTTACTAATTCTTTGCGTAAGTTGTCTATTTAGTACCTCATCTATTTTGGAAAAAATATTTTGATCATTAATGTTGTCGATATGTACTGTTTTAGTTACTGAAACATAAATATTGTTAGTTTGATGGTATTATTAAATTTATGAAGTTTGAGACATTTTTTTTTATGAAATATATATCAGATTCATGTTTATGAGGTAAAAATAATAAGTGAAGTAAAAATTTTGGGTCTAACTATCGTCGATCTAACGACCAATTGCAGATGATTTTGTTTAGATTTAGGGGTTAAATTGATATTGTAACTAAAGTTTATAGTTCAAATTAAAAATTAGGCTTAATACTCAAATAAGTGCCCAAACTAAATCTTTTTTGTCCGAATATGTGCCTACAGTATTTTTTGGACTATTCAGGAACCTAACGCTACAAACGTGACCACTTTAGGTGCCCGAGACGGACCATTAGTTTTCTCCGTCAAATGACACATGTCACAATCTGATAATTTAAAATTTATTTTTTTAAATATTAAAAACACTATTATATTTATAAAAAAATCATAATTTCTTTTAAATTACAAAAAAGTCTCAAAATCCCTAAAATCCCCAAATCTTAACACTAAACCGTCTCCGTCGTCCTTTCCGGCCACGACCACCGCTGTCAACGTAGCCTCTGTCATCATCCTAATTATATGTCACTTAACGGATGAAATTAACATCGTTGACAGTTCGAGCACTTAAAGTGATAACGTTTGTAATATTAGTCAACTAAATGGTCCGAAAAATATTGTTGGCGCCTATTTGGGAAAAAGAGTATAGTTCAAACACTTATTTAAGTATTAAGCCTTTTTTTCTCTGTGTGTATATATATATATACATCGGAGTCTTGTGTTTTAAGGTTTGTTTTCACCAACTTCCAATTCTTTAAATTTATTTATTACTTGGTTAATCTATTATGGTTTTATCAATTCTTAGCTAAATCTTCTTTCCATGATCTAAACCCATAACTAAGGTCAAAGATCTTCTGATGAGCACCAGGAATACTTACTAAAATTGAAACTCCATTCATGAAGACATATGATGTTCCAGGAATAATTGATCTAAACATAAATAAAAATGCTGTTGATGGTGGCTTGCATTGCAGCATTCAACTAGACAGCATGAATCAAATCATCGGCTCTCCAAATACCACCCAACGGAAGTTCAATCCAAATCCTGTCGCACTTTGCTGCCTCAACACACTTACGGTAGAGTCTCGACTGCCTTGGAGATGTGCTGCCATAAAATCTAACTTTGGGGTGCATCAAAGTACCAGAAGCGAATATGGTATTCGCTAATACATTTGCTTCCCCCACTGGAACAGAGAAAGAAGTGCACCCGATAAACAACACCCGGTATTCAAATCATTTTCATAAACCCAATCCATCTTGCAAATCAAGCTTAAGGAGTTCCAAAGATGAGCTATCAGACAACAGTTGAAGATCTGCACCAGACACAATGAGTTTAGCATAATGCACACTACGACTTCGTGAGAGTGGACACAATGATCAACGAGTGGACAATGATCAACCAGAATAGTCCACCCTTTAAGTTCAACATTGAAGGCACCCAATTTCGAAGACACAATAGAAAACCCCGTTGGCGTAGGTTGCATCAATTGCACGATTGAGCTGGTCAAAACCATTAAGTCTTCCATGAACAATCACCGGCAGACATAACTTAATACAAATTTTTCCATTTTCACTCCACAAAAGAAAGATGGTACATTTGGGGATGTTGCTTCAAGGAAAACGCCGCCACCTGAAATGTGGGAGGTCCCCCTAAATACGGAAGCCTAATTACCTCAGTTGTTAGCGGAGAGTACAAAAGAGGGACTCTTTCTTTCTGCAATAAAGTCGTACACTTTGAAAAGAAACCCACCCATATAAAGAAGCACAAGGTCGTGCATCAAGGAAAAGTAGATACTCTAGTCCTCTGCTCCTTTCTTCGACAAGGTACTCTCTGGAAGAGGGTCCAGCAGCCGGCCTCACCTTGTATTAGATACAAAGAGGCATATCGCCAACAAAATTTCATTGCCCAGGGAGTTCACCAATAGCAGGAATACAAGTGTTTTGGACTGACCAAGCCTTGCAAACTGCTCGTATCCGGCTTCGATCTACCCAACGCAACGTCCAATTATACGTTCAAGGATGCGAGGGGGAGATCCGACAATTGGGCCCATGTCTACTCAGTCGCCGCCTCTTTGAAATCCGTTTTTTCCTTAAAATTTCTCATACCAGTCGTAGTCATCTCTCCTATTGAGATAATTTCTGAGGATTTTCAAGGAAATGCGCAAGACTATTAGGCCTGAAAATAGCACAAAGCAAAGAGGCGCCAAGATTGCAGACACCAAAATCTAATTTAATGCAGCCGAGCAGCCCCGCTAGGCCTGAAAATATTGTGGCATAAAGGCACATAATTAAATATGATCGTCTAGATTAGGGAGTAACTAATTTGTACAAGGCAGTTAAGGGAAAAGCTTCTTAGAAACATATAGAGATTCGCATGAAAAAATATACAGCATTTGTACAATACTAGCAATTAAAAAAAATCAAAATCAACCATTCACCTTTCAGATTGTGTTGTTACAGACCAGACTGAGGTCAGGGAGAGAGAGAACTAATCTCATACAATACAGCTATGCTCAGGCAATAGTGCAGCTATGAACTGAAATTACTCGACAGAGTAAGGAAGGTGAGGTATTAGTCGTGCTGTAACCAAAGTGTGATCAAGTGACGTAGTTGACGGGCAAGAGACGAAAGGTGGGAGATTTGCATGACAGGGTTCCTGGAATTCTGTCTAATTCTGTCTAAATCATCAATATTTCAAAATTCTTATTTTCCCTCCAAAAATGCTAATCTAAGCCAGTTAAAACCTGCCAATCCCAAATCCTAACATGCAAAACAAAACAAAAATACAAAATAATAATTAACAAAAGTAGATGGAAGGAATTGATTTACCATTGATGATTTTGGGGAGGGACTCTGAATTTCAAGATGGCTGTAAAAGGGGCTGCTTCTGGAAAGCTAAACCTGCGTTTCGGAAAAATAATAATAAAAAAAAATCGAAATTTGGGAAGTTAATCAATCACTCGAACAAAACTCGCACTTGTGTTGGGAGCTTTGGATTAGAGGTATGAATGGTGGACCGGCACCGAAGCGAACCGCCGATTAAGGCTCATTGAGTATTGAAATCGCCCTACCATGAAACACCTATAAATTAAGACAAAGACAAGGAAGTCTAGCTTGCGGCGGAGTAGAAATGAAGGTTTACGGCGGCACCAATTAGGGTTCAAATGAAATAAACAAAGAATACCAACTTTATTTGTTGGGTTGAAATTGCCCTACCCACGAAACAACTATAAATTAAGAATATAGACAAGGAAGAAGCTTAGCGGCGGAGGAGAGCAATTGCAGAAATTTTGGGAGAATTTATACAAAACTTGCATAAGATAAAACTCCAACTTAATATTAGAAAATTTCTAAAATATTGATTTTATTATTAAACCAAAATCATTTGTAGAGTTTGGAATCTCTTAAAATATTGATTAAAAGTAATAAAAAATAACATCAATTTTTTATAATTGATCTAAATATATAATTGATTTTAATTTAATTAAATATTTCTATTAACTATATAATAATATTTAACGCAATATAGTGATTAAATAATAATTTATGTTTTATGTTTCAAGTTTTATTTTTAGAATTTTAATTTCTATTTTTAGGCATAATTAGAATGGGTATAGGTTGGGTTGGATCGGGTTTTCGATCAACCCGAGAAAAATACATTTTCTATCAAAAATTTTATTCAACCCTAGTTATGGTGACTCCACCCGACCTAAAACCCGACCAAAAACCCGACCAGTCTTTTAAAATAAAACATGTATTTGATCCAACAAAAATATATAAACATATATAATATTTTTAATTTTATTTGATAAAATAAGGATCTAATTGAATATATATATATATAAAGAATAATAATAATGCAATTATCTCTAAATATATAACGTATACTTACATTATTTTTTGGATTGGGTAGATCGAATATTTCTTCCAAAATCTGAACTCGAACTTATCTTCTAAAAAACCTGATCCAACTCAAACTTGAATTTTGAAAGAAAAAAACATAAGCCAATAGGGTTGGGTCTCGTCGAAGACCATCAAGTTTGAGTCTTGTGCCCATTCCTAGATATAATTTTAAAAAATAAGCCTAATATTTGATTAAATAGTCATTTAATTTCTTTTTTTTTCTTTAAACATTTTAGGTAAGATAACTTCTAACGTTTGACTAAATAGTCACTTTGACCTTATTCTTTTTTTTAGCATTTTGACCAACTAATGTTTAATATTAGATAAAATATTCATATTTTGGAATATTAATTGTTTGTTGACTTTGATTATCATTCATTGAGAGACCTTTTTATCTCAAATAAAATATTAGATGCCAAATACTCTAAAATATAATACCAAAGTAACTACTTCATCAAATAATACAAAATTTTTAATATTATTCTTTATTTACAATCTTGTATCGATGATAGTTTAATTTAAATAATATTATTAGTGAATTATGTGGTTAGTAATAATATATCCTAACTATGAAGGATGGTTAGTGACTGTAAGAAGCACTGAAATAAGCTCTTGTTGGGGTGGTTTTGGTGCATGATGGGTTGCATTTGTTCCAAGCCTTCTGCCATTGAAGATAGTAAGGAGTGTCCTAGAGAGACCTTCGAGTAAAGCCTCATCGGATGTTAGGGTACCAAGAGATACTTCTTCGAGGATGGGGCCAGTGAATAGCCAAGGATCAATGTGATAACACAATGTTGAGTGATAAACAAGTGAGCGATTTGGTTCGATTACACAGTGAGAATTTGGATAGGAAAAGAGAGAAGATGGAGTATGTTG